GGAACTGGATGGGCTTTAAGGTCCCTTCCAACCCAAGCCATTCCATGATTCTATGATTCTTCCTCAAAGTATGTTTTGAGGTTGGTAAATGACTTAAGATGGACTTGAAAAGGCTGTGCTCTGTAGGCTGTGTTGAATTCCAGGGTTTCAAGCAAACAATGTTTCTTCTAGTCCTATTTTTTTTTTTTTTTGTTAGAAGGAGGGTCTTTATCTTACTTTTTCAACCAAGATTCACCAAAAATTTCAAATGGTGATAGTGTTACAAAACCAAGCAACAGCCTACGAATTTTGAGACTGTATTAATACTATAAGAGGTGACAAATACACTTTTATATTCAAGACTTCCTATCCTTTTTTCACCAAGTGCTGTTTTTTTTCAATATCGATTTTGGCATCTGATTTCTTCAAAGAGCCTTCATTTCAAAGCAACACTTCGATTCCAGAAAGAATTACTTATTAATAAATAATTGTTCTTACTACTACAAAGGATAGTAGTGGATACAAAGTGTGTTCCACCCTTAAGGATAATTTTAATTGTCAGTCCAAAATATTGCTGGCCTGGAGAGTACTTCTCAAAAGGTGGATAGCGGGATTTGAGTGGGAACAGTTGCTTTTAGGAGGAACATGTGGAAGTGGTGTGTGATGTCATGTATTTTTGGTTTTATCTTGGGTTGCTGGGTGTATGTTCAAAAGGAAGGAGTATTTTGTGTAAGTACAGGTAATTCTCTAGAGCTCAGTCGTCCTAATTTTATAGCTTTTTCACGCCTTTTGCTGGTATTTTGACAACGTTAGTAATGCTTCTTGATTGAAAACCTGCCAACTTGGGATCTTTTTGGTTTTAAATGTCCTTATTTGTAACCAAAGAAGAACAAGATTAACACAATAGTGTAAGGTTTGGGGTGTAACGACAGGAAGCTGCTGTTTGAAGGGAATGGGTCAGGTTGTGAGACCACAAAACGCCAGAAGCTGAATGCTAAGTACAGAGGAACCAGAGGAAGTTTTTGGGAAACCCTGCTGTGCTGGATTTGCTGTACTCCTTAGCGAAGGGAAAACCCTTTGGCTGTTTTACTTAGGAGGCAGCTACAATAGTTCTCTTCTGCTAAAAGGGGAATGAAAGAGTAGTTCTGTTATAATTGTAATGGGTTGATCTGTGTAGCCTGCATGGGAACAGGAGCATGCTCTGTCAAAGAGAATTAACCACTTTCCCCTTGCTTTCCTTGCGTACGCAACTTTAATGATAGTCTGTGCCGTAGAAGAACTGATTAAATGCTCGTTTTCTTTTGCTTTTCCTTAATATGCTTCTTACCTTGCAGTGTAGTTGATAGAGCTACATGGAGCATGTTATTTTCCTATGACCGTGATAATTCATTAGGAATTAGCTTCAAATGGTAATTCATTAGGAAATATCATTTCAAGCACAGCTGTAAGTTTATGTAGATTTTTAAAAAACAACAATAGGCATAATCTTTCTGCCATTAGTACTTCAGATGAAAGAGGCAATACGTGAGTATTCTGAGCCCAGATCTGCACTTTGTTGCAAAAAACCCCAAAATACCAGCTAGAAGTTGAATTACAGGGATATCTCAGACTTTTCCTGGCATTGCTCATGTTTTTAAAATACATTATTTAATATCTTTTTTTTTTTTTTTGGTCCTTTCACTGGTGTTTCCCTTTGGATAAGTAATTTTACTGAGGTTTTGCCACATGAATGCAAACGTGTGTAAAGTTTCAGACTGGCAAACTTTGTTCATATTGCAAAACCAGCATGCTCTTTAATACTAATAACATACTCTAATAGTAATACTGTATTATTAGTGTATAATATACACTAGAATAGCAGGAGTTGCCAAAAGGTCAGGTTGAGATACGTTAACCAGTGCATGTGGAAGTCTGCATCGAAGAATGAAAACTGCTTGCAAAATTAGACTGAAAGTACAGCGGTGTGAAAGCAGCCTGCCTTCAATTAACAGAAAATGAAGTGTTGTAAGTTGATGTGCGCTATTACCCTCTGCATAACAGTGTACAGTTTTTCTGCTTCAGCTGTTAGGTAATAACTATACGATGATAATGCAATGAATTTTAAAGTTCTTTGCTAGATGCTATCCTTTTTTCGTCCTTTCTGCCTTTTTTTGCTATCTTAGTTTTAAACTCTTCCTCCTTATTTTGTAGACACTGCTCTCCTGTTCACTACTTCTTCTCTGTCTTTACGTCTCACCACTGGGCCTCTCTCAGTGTCTGTTTTCCCAACCTCCACCCCAAATTCCAGCTGTATATCTACAACCAATTGGTCAGGTAACTGTATCTTTCTCAAGCGATGGACTCTTTGATAGAGCATGCTCTGTTCAGACCTAGAAAGTCAAGAGGTTCTTCATCTGTGAATGTTTTTGACGCTTTCCTCACTGTTTCCAGACCTTTAGGAATGACATAGTGGGATTGGGTACTCCCCCAGAAGGTTTGTGAGATACAAGCTGTGAGATACAGTTGGTTGGTAGAGGGAAGGGATGCTATCCAGAGAGACCTTGACAGGCTCGGAGAGTGGGCCAGTGTGACTCTCCTGAAGGTCAGCAAGGCCAAATGCAAGGACCTGAGCCTGGCTTAGGGCAATTCCCAGTGTTACTGTAGACCGAGGGATGAATGGATGGAGAGCAGCCCTGCAGAGAAGGACTTGGGGATGCTGGTGGACATAGAAATTGGACATGAGCCGGCCGTGTGCGCT